GAAACTCTGCAGAAGGGCGGCTCGGCGACTCAGCGACTCGGCTGCTGGGCGGCTCGGCTCCCGGGCGGCTCGGCGGCAGGGCGGCTCGGGTGCAGGGCGGCTCGGCGCCCGGGCGGCTCGGCTCCCGGGCGGCTCGGCGGCAGGGCGGCTCGGGTGCAGAACGGGGCCGGGACAGGGGACGGCGGGGCCGTCAGGGTGCAGCGGCGGGGCCGGCAAGGTGCAGCGGCGGGGCCGTGACAGGGGACGGCGGGGCCGTCAGGGTGCAGCGGCGGGGCCGGCAGGGTGCAGCGGCGGGGCCGGGACAGGGGACGGCGGGGCCGTCAGGGTGCAGCGGCGGGGCCGGCAGGGTGCAGCGGCGGGGCCGGGACAGGGGATGGCGGGGCCGTCAGGGTGCAGCGGCGGGGCCGACTGTTGCAGTGGCGGGGCCGTCAGGGTGCAGCGGCGGGGCCGTGACAGAGGACGGCAGGGCCGTGATAGGGGACGGCGGGGCCTTTAGGGTGCAGCGGCGGGGCCGACAGAGGTGCAGCGGCGGGGCCGGCAGGGTGCAGCGGCGGGGCCGGGAGTAAGACGGCGGGGCCGTCAGGTGACGGGGCCCGCTGCAGCGACGAAGAGGCCGCGCGGCCGGCGTGAGGGCGGCGCGGCGCGGCAGAGCCGAGAGGGCGGCGCGGCGCGGCCGTAAGGCCAGCGCTACGTGGAGCCCGGGCCGCGCGCGCGAAAAAAAAAGGGAGTCGCGCGCGCGACTCTCGGGGCGCCACAAGGGCAGCGCGACAAGCACTAGGGGGAGCGCGCCTCGGGAAGAATAGGGCGCGCTCCGGGCAGAAAAAAAAATCGTGGGTGGGCCCTAAAAAAAACGGTCCTTAGGAGGGACCCGCTCTGATACCATGTGAAAAGAATGAACAGGAATGAAATGACTAAGGAAAGATTGGGTACAAATACAACCCTAGAAACCCTGTACCCCATATGTGCTACCCCACTATAGCCTACAAACATGCATCAGCTATAATGCTCTGACACTGGGCTGGTGGAGACGCGAGGGATACAGAGAAGGGGGTAGGGGCTTCTCCGTATCCCTTCGCGTCTCCCCCATCCCTCGCTTCTCCCCCAGACCAAGGCCTTCGAGGAGCAAGCGAGGGCCTTGGGCTAGTAGGGGAGCACGGGGCTGGAGCGGGAGGGGTGGGGACCAGGCGTGTCGATTCACGAACATTTGTCCATTTTTCCTGAGAATTCAGGGCTGGTTTCAGCGCAACCTAGAGTTTTTCAGGGTTGGTTTTTCCCTAAGGCCGGATTGCTAAAGGACAGGTTTTGGGCCTTCAGTGCATTTCCGACATACATGTCCCCTCCCCCCCCCACCCGACTCCCCCCTCGTTCACCTTGACGGTGTACGTCCCCTCTCTCCACCCACCCAACAACACTTTTCCCAGCTCCCCTATCCTTGTGTGCACTGCTCGATAGAGTAGTCAGCTATATAAGAATACATAAGTTCGAAACTTCAGGGCTAGGTTGGGCTGCTTCCCGGACGTTTCAGGGCTTGTTTTGAACCAGCTCAGTTTCTTACGGGCAGGGCTGACACCAAGCGACAGCCCTGGTGGGGACTTTTAGAGGGGAGGGGAGGAGGGGGACAAGAGCGGGGGCGGTGTCAGATGAAAAAATGTCGCTATCTAAAAATCCAGACTTTCGTATCACACCGGATAGTAGCGCATATGAGCTTATAATAAAATCGTTTTTTTTTTTAGAGGGAGCACTTGTAATTGAGTGTAGGGCATACGCGAATGCGCGTATAAAAAGGGGAAAAATGGATGTTTGCTTATATGGGTACCAATCGAAGCTCTCAATAGGCAAACATGACTGTGAACCAATCACGTGGGGTCGTGCATGAAAAGCAAGCGAAAACAGCAGCAACTCGATTTCCCACCGCACAGAGCATGTCCCGAACCATTGCATCTGCCAACGCTGACTCGAAACCTGCCATGCAGCCCAACCAGGTTGTCATGCGTTACCAGACAGGAGCATCTCATCCGATGCCTCCAGAAGGGGCACAAATATGCCCTGCCAGCGCAGCACGTTAGGAGCCGTGAAAGCCATGGCGGACTTTACCGGCACGAAATTTCTTTTCAAGAAAAAGCCTAGGCCCGCCTGGCGAGTTACCGAGGACGGCTGGTATAGCTGTGTCCCACCAGAGCCCCCTGAGCCACCAGAGCCTCCCGTGCCACCTGCGCCGCCATCTCCTCCTGTGCCTCCTGCACCGCCAGCTCCTCCGGCTCCTCCGAATCCGCCCGTATATGCAGGCCCTTCATATCCTCCCGTGCTCACGCTCCCGCTCCCGTTGGCGTTCGACGAGTACCTGTCGGAACCAGAAAGCAACAAGGCCCCTGCCAAGTACGTTGAAGCTCCGGCCCCGGCACCACGATGGGGCCAGCCACAAGATTGCGCGTGGGACGAATCTGCAGCGGGTGCTGACGACGAGCAAGCCGACACCGAGGCTGGCACCGACACTGGCACCAAGGCCGGCACCACCGCATATGTGTTTCCCGAGGGTGCCCCGGGCGGCGACTACGATGACAATGTGGAGTATTGGTCGCGCGACGGACTTTCGAGATACTACCTATTTTAACGTTTCCGCCTGTACACCCGCTGGATTATCAATGCCGACCTGACGCCGCTGTGGCTAGAGATGCCCGCCACCACCACTGTAGACCAGATGGGTGTTCGCTTGGTGCCCATCAGGAGCGCGGGGTACCGGAAGGAACGCCTGACCGTCATGTTGGCGTGCACGGCCGACGGGGAGAAGCTCAAGCCGTGGGTCTTCTTCAAGCGCAAGACGGTGCCGAAGGGTGATTTCCAACCAGGTAAAAGTATAGCCCCTCTTGCTATGTGTTAAATATATCACGTTTTATAACTAGCACCCATGTTTTTACTGCATTTGATATGGCAGATGTGGTCGTGGCAGTCCACCCGAATGGCTCGATGGACACCGATGGCGTCATGCGCTGGCTCGACGAGTGCATCATGCCCTTCACCCGGCCCCAGTTCGGTAGGCAAGAGAGGAGCGCCCATGGTCATTCTGAATTCTTACCGCGGGCACCTTACAGACGCCTTGAAGAAGAAGTTCGCCGACGGTGATCCCGTCAGGCTGTACGGCGGAGGTACAGCCCCTCGATATCTCAATCTACAAGTTCTTCAAGGCCTCCATCTACAAGCAGTACCAGAGCTGGTTCGAAGAGCAGGGCCAGGAGCAGCTGACGGCTGCGGGTAAGACACCCACCATTGATTGTTTGAGAGCGGCTTGAATTCCCCCCGTATGTCTTAACGACATCTCCCTTTCTCTCACATGTGGTGCAGGGAACATCAAGAAGCCGCCCCCTGCGGTGGTGCTCAGGTGGATCTCACGGGCATGGAGGGCCGTGCCACCTGAGCTTATCAAGAAGGCCTTCCTCACCTATGTCATCAGCAACGCACTTGATGGCAGTAAGGACGGCCTCGCCATGGCGCACAGGTGGAGCCAGCTGACACACGAGGTCAACGTCGATGACGAGATCATCGCCAATGCATCGTTTGGCAACAACTGCGAGGAGCCAGAGTCAGACGAGGATTAGATTCTAGCTAGGAATGTAAAACTTCTTGATGTGTAGTGAGAATATTGGATGAGGCATGTGTAGATTTCCTGTTGTAGCCGAAATAATGTATAGTAAAAGAATAGTGAAAAGATTACCCTTTGGGGAGAAGAGATGCACTTATAATAAGTACAGGGATTCTAAGGGGTGCGCTTATACTTGAGGGCCGGCCATAAGCGCATGGCTCCAGATAGAAGTGCCGGCGCCTCGGAGGGCGCTACTATTCGGGGCGATACGGTAAGTATAACACTTGCTCTTCAAGTTCAGACGAACTTATATCACTAATCTTATAGATCAGACAAAACAAAATGCAGTGTCTAGAAAATCTAATGAAAGCATAACAGCAGGTCTGAACAGCAGACCATCAGACTGATTTGGTATGATAACGAGAGCCCAGAAGCGATGGGAGCGGAGCGAAGATTGCACGGGCGACCGCCCGTGAGAAGAAGGGCAACCAAGGGGAGAGGGGAGGCAGCCGCAAGGCCGACCTGAATTTTTTCGGAGGGCCACTTGAGTTTCAGTCAGCGGAAAGATGTTTGGAACAGTGTTTTATCGGCCCACAATCGTTCTCGTTTTCCTACACATTTTCAAATTGGATCTACCTTACTATATTAGACTCTCGTTTTGCATCTCCAATCAAGCTAGACAGCTAGACACAGCAGAGGACAGTGGATACTAATGGTGATGGCCCATGGGAATGGCATGGCACCCATCCCAGCATGAATAGATGAATGAGTGAAGGCCCAGCATGAGTACCGAATCAATTAGTGCAGTACACCTGTCCAGAGCAAGAGCGGAGGTGAGTAAGTGAGGGGTACGCATATAGAGAAAAGGTGAAATTGTGAACAGGCTAGGGCAGGGGAGGGATACAGGAACAGGAGGCGATGCAGGCGACTGTGAAGGATGGGAAAGATGGACGGAGAAGAGATGGACAGTCGTTATAAGCCTCACTAGAAGGTAGAGGGGCCGATTTCTATCAGTTGCCAGCCACGCAAGTCAGTGCCACGACTTGCCAAGACACAGACATACCAGCTGATTCCCTCGCAGGAAATGCAGGACCAGTGACAACAATTTAACAACAGAGCCTGAACAACAACAGTGACGTTAAGCAAAGATCCAAGCCGCAGCAGCCCTACATGTCGTCCCTAGTTGCATCTCACCCATGGTACCCTTCAGTTGCATCTCACCCATGGTACCCTTCAGTTGCATCTCACCCATGGTACCCTTCAGCTGCATCTCACCCATGGTACCCTTCAGTTGCATCTCACCCATAGTACCCTTCAATTGCATCTATGGTACCCTTCAGTTGCATCTCACCCATGGTACCGTTCAGCTTGGCAGACTTGGCAAGCACCTTAAGGGGCGTCACTAATCACGTGGATCACATCCCTACCCTCTCACCACCTTCTCACCACCCTCCCACCACTCCCTCACCACCCTCTCACCACCCTTTCTTCCACTCTCTCTGTCGCCTTCATCCCCATCCTGCCACTGACCGTGCCACTCACAATTCCACTAACAATGCCACTCACAATGCCACTCCCCGTGCCTCTCACCGTGCCACTTACCATGCCACTCACCGTGCCACTCACCGTGCCTCTCACCGTGCCACTCACTGTGCCACTCACCTTGCCACTCACCTTGCCACTCACAATGCCACTAACAATGCCACTCACAATGCCACTCACCGTGCCTCTCACCGTGCCACTCACCGTGCCTCTCACCGTGCCACTCACCGTGTCTCTCACTGTGCCACTCACCGTGCCACTCATCTTCTCACCCGCCTTGCCACTGGTTGTCCCACTCTTCTTGGTGCTGGTCGTGCCGGAGCATGTGAGCTTGTAGGAGGGCCGGTGCGCCTTTTGGCACTCTCTACTGCAATACGCCACCTTGCCACATGCAAAACAGTTCTTCAGCTTCACACCACCACCCTCAATCTTCTTGCTCCCCACAACAGCGCACACATGCCCCCCACAAGCAGCAGCAATGGTGGTTGGAGCAGCACAGGAGGCAGGGCGGTAACACGGCTCCCCCAGCAGCATCTCTCGCAGACATGCCACCAGATTCACTCCCCACGGCCATGCCCTCATATAGGCCGCCTCCTCCCCCTTCTTGCTCTCCTGATTGCTATGGATGCTGCTGCTGCTGCTGCTGCTGCTGCTGCTGCCACATGCAGTGGGAATCCCATCCCCGTGAAGCAGAGAGCGCTCATAGATCTCCGCCATTGCGTCCTTGCGTGCACTCGCACCACGCTCCTCCGCCGCCACTGCACGCCACCCCGCCACCCCCGACACCAGCAACGGGCAGTGTTGCCACCATGGACCAGAATTGCACCTCCTCCAACACAACCCCGCAATCCCCTTCACCCTCCCCGCCCTCCTTGCCCTTCCCACAGGCTCCACTGCCTGCCTTCCTTCCCCCTACTTTCTCTTCGCCCCCACTGCTCCCCCCTCCACCCCTCGAATTCCACCCCCCTCTACTGCAGGAGACGCGTGGCGCAGAGCAGTGCCAGGCTGAGCAGCAAGGCAACTAGCACCTGCTCTGCCCATTCCCGTAGCACCTGCACGCTGCTGCTGCTACTTCTCCGCTTGCCACAAGGGCCGTCAGGCGGATCTTCCAGGCCCACGCAGGCGAGAAGGTTTTCAAACTGCTGCGAGTGGGGCTGGAAGATGGAGAGAAAGCAGTCGAGGAGGACAGTGGCGGGGCGATAGGCGAAGTTGGCGATGAAGGTGACGAAGGGGACGTATGAGATGTAGGTGCGGATGCAGCGGCTGTAGTGGGCGCATGCGGGTGCCTCTAACAACAAACTGCCGAACTCCACCAGCAAGTCCGCATCTGCCCTGCAACGCACGATTGGACGGCACTCCTTGCTTCGCGCTGACGACACTTGTCTCGTGGGAGACTGTTGGACGCTTCCATACTGAGTTGTCACACACCCACCGTTCCTGCTACCCTGCATGCCATCCACCTTGCCCAGCCCAAAACATCTGGCATTGGAGTCGTCGGGAAATATCACAGCAGCTTCGCCCCCCTCACGCCACTCCTCCCATTCTGCATGGGGGCTGCTTCCATCCAAAGGGGGGAGAACAATGTCGAGCCGGAGCAGCAGGCTTGGAAGTTCCCGAAGCGGGTGGCGCATGGGCAGGACCTTACCTTGTGAGTTTTCTTTGAAGCACATCTTGGCTAAGATAAAATCTGAGCCATAGATCCAAAGCCACTGCAAGATGCGGGCAACCCGGTAGGTGAGGAGGCCAACGGTGGGGTCTGTGTTGACCGGCTCACGGCCCCAATCCAATGCTCCGCTACCAGCATCACACAGCGCACTGTTGGCGACAGAAGCGCTGCTGCCAGGAGAAGTGCTGGCTCGAGATACTGCCACTCCCTCCTTCATCCCTGTCGCCAGCCCTCGCTTCCTCAGTTTCTCCTTGGCCGCCTCAATGGCTGCATCCTGCAGGGTGCTGCTGGCACGCGTAGACCCCCCGAAGAACATGGCGCCCAGCTTGCGGTGCTCTGCCCGTGAGAACACTGACGCCACTGCCACGGCCAAGTCACTCGCATCCACGTCACTCACATACATGCCCCTGGGAATATTATTGCCTTCTGCCCTGCTGCGGCCATGGCTACTTTTGCTGCTGCTGCTGCCCTTCTCACCGCAATGGCTGCACCGGAACTCCCTCCCTTCCCCCCCACAATGCTCTAGAATCCAAGTCATGCCATCCACATACCTCTCTCACACAGGCCCCTTCAGGTTCTTCCTCCATTGCCCATCCGTGCTCTCCCTGCCACCATCTCTCCCAACAGGTCGCCCAGGTCCATGCCCAGCTCGTCCATGATGCGCGCATAGTCCTCCGGCCCCATGCACTTGCCGCTCTCCACCCGCTGCCTCACCACCTCCATTGCATGCCTCATCTGCCCCATCTGCCCCGTCTGCAACATCTGACCCATCTGCCCAATCAGACCCATCTGCCCCATCTGCCCCACACTTCCCACACCCTTCTTGTTGTTGTGCCAAAGCACTATAGTGGCATGGTCATCGCACTCCCATTCAGCCTACAAGCCTGCTCAGTTTCTGGAATTGTGTGGGGAGGTGCATCAACATGTGTTCTTCAAACCCTCAAATCTTCAGAGTTTTTTTTAGCAGTTATAACAAGGCATGGCAACATTTTTTGTTTCAAGACTTATGGCATATATCGTTGGAAAGAAAGACACCTGAAGCTAACTTCTATCTTTTTTTGAGCTTTGTATGTTATTGGAGCTGATCGTGACGGCGTTTTGAACAGAGGCGGTTCGAGGTCATTAGATTCTGCTTAGGTGGTTTCATGGGCATTCGCGACCCCTAAGTGGATTCTAGACTATAACACTTCCCGCTTCCTCCCTTTCCCTCCCCTCGTGCTTTCTTAGCAGCCTGCTCCCCACCTCCCCTCGTCCCCCTCTCTGCATGCGCCTTCTCAAGCCCGCCTGACAGCACGTGCTGCACGAAGAACCCAAACCCTTCCTGCAGGTCAGCACGCTCCTTCACCCCCAGCACCAGCACCAGCACGGAAGTAACACGGTCATTCTCCTGCTGCCAGCCCGTCCCCTGCTGGCTTGCTCGAGCCAGGTAGACTGCGTCGTATATATCCACGTCAGCCTTCCACATGGTGTCAATGGCCACCTCGCTACAAGCACGAGGAAGGCAACAAAGATGACAGCGTGGCGGTAGGCCGCCCAGCAGCTGCTGCAATGCCAGCAGCGGGACCACGCTGCAGCAGCATAAGGGATGGCAACAGCAGCAGATGCAACAGAAAGAGACGCAGCAGGGGAATCCCCAACACAAGGTGAAGTGGTAAGAATGGCGGGCAAGCGGCAGCGGATGCATTTCAGGTCCATGAGCACACCCACACGCGGCTCAGCCATCCAGTCGAGCAGCACGGATTCCACACATACAAACGGAGCCAGAGCACACCTGCACGAGAAGTGAGTCCCAGGCGATGCCCCCTCGCCCCGCTCCCCGAACGCCTGCACGCGCGCCGAGAACTTCACCATGCTTTTGCTCACTCTACTGCGCCGCGGCGCCAAGGGGGTGGCGTCGGGCAGCTGCTTGTGCAGGCGGGATCGGAGGAACGTGAGGCTCTACATGGTGACAGCGCGCTCGTCGCCCAAGCTGAGGGCGCGGTCGAAGCAGCAGTCGCACTCCTTCGGATCACCCGCCCCTCACTTCCAAGTAGTGAACCATGTCCTCCCGACACACCAGGTGGCGCGTCCCTGCTACTTGCTCACCGCCCACTCTCGCTGAACCCCTGGCTTTCGCTGCAGATGCCTTGTGGGCTCCAATCGACAGCTGCGGGGGCCCATACCGCCTCATCATCTCCTCATGACCGCGCCAAATTGCCTCCTTCAGTTCCGACAGGTCTGGTCCACCGGTCCCGGCATGATTCAAGGGCATTGACTTTCTTCCAGCACCGCTCCCTGGTGTGTCTCTGTGCCGCGGCGCACGCTCCTCGTCATCCTGCTCGCCCTTGTCGCGGCTAGAGCCTATGTGGTCCCAATTGCTGTAGTCGATCCCGCGCCACCTCGTCCCCTCAGCGGCACGTGTAGCAACAGCAGGTGCAACAGCAGCAGGTGCAGTAATAACAGGTGCAGCAGCAGCGAGTGCAGCAGCAGCGGGTGCAGCAGCAGCGGGTGTAGCAGCAGCGGGTGTAGCAGCAGAGAGAGCAACGGGAGGAGGAAGAGGAGTGGTAGCTACAGTAGGAACCGCAGCAGCAAGTAGGGCGATGGCGGAAGAAGTTAGAAAAGCCAGACTCACGTCCGCAGCAGGCGGAGGAGCTGAAGCACTCACACCATCTTGACCTCCGTCCTTGCTTGTTCTCTTGCCCTCTCCACGCACTGCCTTCACGGGAAGCACCTTGATGGTCACGCTTGGCTTCAGCTGCGCATGCTGCACGCTGCAGTCGGGTGATAGACACACCACTTGCCCCACCACCATGAACCGCACCACCTGCGTCCCACGCACCGCCGACTCATCACTTTCCTCACTGCCTTCCACGCCATCGTTGCCTCCATAATGCATGCGCACTGCTTCACTCAGAGGCTCCGCGGTTCCTCGCGGCGCCTGGCATGTATCGCATGGCAGACAGCAATCGGGCAGGTGCGAGCGGAACAGTCTGTTGAACACCGATCGGAGAGACTCCTTGGGAGAGGTGGCGACGTAGACGTCCACGTGGGATGATACCAATGGATTATCGCCACATCAGCTGTCACTGCTGTGATGGTTGTTGGCGGATCCTTGGGAACCAAGCCTTTGGGAATCCGAAACCAAATCTCAAGAGCCATACTTGCGCTCAAGGTAACGTCGAATGAAATTAATCACCAGATCACTGAAAAAAAAAAAAAGCGAAGTCGCTCTCTTCGCACCATACTGTGTCCTCCACGTGTGCCTGGCCTTCGCTGTGGAATGCCGCAAGGTGAGCTGAATGGGCAGCAGCAGCACCACGATAGGGTGCTAAGACCGCATGTTCTTTGCTTGTGTGACTAGAATGCTTGTCCTATTCTGCATGTGTAGACTTGTAGGCCCTTCCATGCGCTGCATGTACCTTGCCTATTATCACTACAAGGACCTCTTGAGACAAATGAGGAAGGGCGAGGGAGAGCGCCATTGCCGTGCGTGTTAGGATCAAAAACAGGGTCTATGTAGACTGGGGCCGAAATATGTCAAAGTCGTTGACTAAAGTTTCTAAACAGAAAAGTCGAGTTCACAACAAGAAACGCCGCCGACAAAAGGTTCGCCGGTTAAAACTTCACCAATTCCGGATATGATGTAGCCCTAGACCGTGGCTACAATTCCCTATTTGAATCGTATCAAAAGGTGAAGTATAACTGTACTTATGCTCCCTCGGCGCACCGAGGGGTATGCTAGAGCTGAATCTTTACTCAATCACTAGAGAAATAGTTCAACAAAAACCACACAAGAGAATTAGAGTTTCTAGAAACCAGGTGAATGAGAGGGAAGGATTCAAGGGAGCCTCAAACCAACCAAACCGCATAAGCTCACAAAATCCCTCCTTATAGTAATCCACCTTTGACTCTTGTCATCTTCCCAACCTTTCAAATCCACCTCACCTCAACTTGGCCACACTTGCCAACCCGGTTTGACTTCTCCCAACCACTTGGCATCATCTACAGTAGAGTGATGAATTTTCCCAACCTCCAAAATTCTATACCCCATATGAAGTCACTCCACATTTCCAAAGTCGCCGCAACCAACTATAAAAAGCATACAGACTTCAACCGTTCGTAAATTTCTCCTTCGTGGTCCAATTGAAGCGATCCTTGGTTCGTCGGAAAGTTCTTGGGCAGAAAAGCCATTTCAAATAACTGCTCAGACAAAATAAAATTCACACGCACTCACGTTATTCAAGCAACACCAAAATACAAATTCTTGCACACGCTCACACCACGCATGTATGGTAGAAAGATATGATAGGAGCCAGACAGATGTGAATGCAAATGATAGCATCACAGAACAAACTTCCCCCCTGGCTACCAACCATCATCCTACATGCCTCAGCTCATATATGCAACCTCCAGCAAGCTTCATTCACTTCCAACACTCATCTTATGCTGCTGCTGCGGCTGCCGCTGGTGCTGCTGCTGGTGTTACTACTGCTTCTGCTCCACATCAGGTTCTTGCCCATCCTCAGTCACCCCAGAGATCTCCTCCTTTGACACAAAGATATCCACCTGCCTTGACGGCCGCAGTACCTCACCGGCCTCAACATTGAGTGGTGTAGTTGGAAGCTTTTGCTGCTGCTGCTTCCACTCCTTATAGTACAAGGACTCAAGGAACTTAACATCCATTGACACATTCAGCTGCTAGCTGGTCAAGTCCCATAGCAGCCAGCCCTTATGATCCTCAAAGATCCCTAAATGCATGCCCCATCTCCCAGAGACTTCAAGCTTTCCCCTTTCCTCCTTAGGCACATGGAACACCACCATGCAGCCATAGGCTCTCAGCATGTTATAGGTGCACTCCCATACCACTTGGTGTAGGGAACTTACTGCTTGTCCCCCACAGTCGCCAGCACCCCGTTCTTCACAAGGGCGACCTGCCGCAGTGCAGTCACCCAAAATGAATCCGGTTGCCCTTCATGTCTAAGGAGATTGCATGGACCTTCTTGCAGGGTCCGGTTGAACCGCTCAGCCATGCCATTCTGGTGAGGGTTGTATGGCACTGTGAGCTAATGCTAGATCCCCTTTCAATTCAGCTCCCCCTTAGAATCAGCGCCAATGAACTCTCCCCGATTGTCGGTGCGGATCACCTTCACCTTGTTTTTGCTCTCCCTTTGAGCTCTCGGCATCCACTTCTTCAAAATAGTCGCTGCCACCTCCTCATTAGTCTTTAAAGGGTACACCCACACCGCACGCATATGGTCATCCACAATGGTCAAGAAGTAGCGGCTTCCTGAGAGAAGGGGACCTCATAGGGCCCACCACATCCATGTGCACAAGCGCAAGTGGGGCCTTGGCTGGCCTTGTGCTGTTGATATAGGGAAACTTTGTGAACTTAGTCGCAAGGCATGTAAGACAGCTCCCAATCTCCCTTTCTGCCCCTTTCACCTCCAACCCCTTCAAGCTCCCATTTTTTACCAACTTCTGCAGCATAGGAAAGTTCACATGGCATAGCCTCTCATTCCATATCCCCAAATCGGCCTCACCACTCCCAGATGAAGCCTTTGCCAAAGTAGTTGTCCCATCCACACCAGCAAGCACCTCACCATGTGGTTGCTGTGGCTGCTGCACCTTCTTGACTGCATTCAGGGCCTCATCAATTGGTGCAGTCTTTGCTCTTCCTGAAGTTGCCTTAGCTGTTGCTGCTACCCGCTGCCGTTGCTGGGGGTTTTCCATTCCAAGGGATAATTGGCAGTTGCTAGAGGTCCTTGATGCAGCTTCTCTTCTCCTCTAGGTTCCACTCCAGCAACTTCCCAAGCTTCGCAGGTCAGCTGGTTGGGCCAAAGGTCACTTCAGCCTTGATCTTTTACAACCTTCGCAAAGAAAGGAGGTTGTCAGATAAACCCTCAACCAGCAGCACATTCCCCAGCCCCACAAGCTCCCCATTGGCTCCTATCACCTTGGCATTACCAACACCAATCAGAGGGAGCAAAGCACCTGAAGCAACAGCTACAAACTTGGTCTTCCCAGGGGATTTTACCTCGTCAAGCAAATCTGCCTGTGGGATCATGTGACTTGTGCAAACTGAATCTATCACCCAGTGAGTGAGAGGGTGCATTACAACCTTCCCAACTGAACCCACATCACCCCCACTCCCTTGCACATCCTCAACCATGAGGAACATCCCAGGGGAGGCATTACCATGTGCACCTTCACTTTGTGCACTTGAACCTGGCACAGCGCCACCTCGTGCGCGTTCACCACTTGGCGGCTTCATGCCTGGGGGCGCCCATCCCTCAGACCAGCTGAAACACTTCAACCTTGGGTGTCCAGCCTTCTTGCAATACCAGCATGCACCCTCCATTCGGGTGCTCCCCCTGCCACCAGAGCTCGCATGTCCCTCATTGTAGTCACCTCGGCCTCTCCCTCTGCCAAAGCCTCTCCCACGGCCTCGGCCTCTCCCACCCTCTCTTCCTCTGCTGCCTCCTGCAGCTCCATACCCCTCAACACTCTTGTTGGCAGCACCACCTCCCATGTGGTGCCTGCGAAAGTCTTTTAGCAGAATCTGTTGTTGTAGCCACTCTAGAGTCCACTGGTCCTACTGAGAGGTAAGGGTAGGAATCAGGTTGTGCCATAAGTTGTCTAATATAGAGATGATCTTGGTGCGCTGCTGCATCTGCGACACCTTGCTACCCGCCGCTGCCATCCTCGCATAAGTGCCCTTGGTCTAGTCAAGGACCGGCTTCACATCGTCCCCCGGCCACATGGAGAGGGCAGCCAATTCGTTCTCCAACACAATCACCATTGGCAGCGTGTTGGGCTGAGTAATGTCACGTAGTACCTTCCACGCCTTCGGTCCGAAGTCATCCAGCTCCACCAAGTCCTTGATATGCTGGAAAATGTCGTTGTTGACGGATTGAAGGATCAGGGCATACAGCACCACGCTCTTCTCAATCCACCAATCGCAGACATGTCCTTCCTCCAGCATCTTGTCTTCCACCATCGCAATTTTTAGCAGCTTGTAGCGCTTGAAAGCACTCCTCATCCTTCTGCTCCAATCCTCATAGTTGAAGCCATCCAACGCCTCAATTCTGGATGGCGGCGGCCCATTCCTTTTCTCACCTGCATCTCCACTCCCCTGATTCATCATATCTTCACACAATCACATTTTCAGCTCCCCCCTTACTGTCCACACTGAAGTCTCTCGATATTTTCACAAGTGCCGTCGGTGCCAACGAAATTTTGGCAAAATTTCCCCTTAGCGGAAATCACATCCAACCTTTAGAAGTCCAATTTTCACACCTACAGGCCATGGTGGGTACAGAAGGTTCTTCACACCTCAATCAACTCTCCACAAAGTCTTCAATCTGCCATGATACCAGTTGTAAGTATTAATGGACGGAGTCTATATAGATAAGAGGCCAAAATATCTCAAAATCGTTGACTGAGTTTCTGGACAGAATTCTTGAGTTCACAAGAAACGCCGTCGACGAAATGTTCACCGTCAAAACTTCACCATTTTCAGATTTGTTGTACTTCTTGATTGTGGCCACAATTCTCATTTTGAGTTGTATCAAAAGGTGAAGTATAGCTCGACTTTTGAATTTCGGCGCACTAGGAGGTATGTCGGATCTGAAACTTAGCTCAATCACTATAGTTCAACAAAAACCACACAAGTGAATCAAAGTTGCTAGAAACCAGGTGGGAGAGGATGAGGAAGACAAGACGAAAGTTCCCAAGCTCTTGAGCAAAAAAGTCATTCCAGGTATCTGCTCGGACAAAATAAAATTCACACACACTTTCATCATTCAAGCAACACCGAAACACAAATTCTTGCACACGCTCACACCATGCATTCATGGGAGAAAGATATGATGGGAGGCAGACAGATGTGAATGCAAA